GCAGGAAAACTTTGAACACTGGCACGACATAAAACAACAATACAAAAATGTTCCACGCCACAGAATATTCTAATTCGGTACGATATAAGAAGAATAATCAACAAAATACTGTTGTTTTTTTTTGTTCCGTATATTAACAAAAATTCAGTGAGCAAAGTAGGTTAGAAAATGGTCAGAACTTGACTTTATTACCAAATTCGTGAGTCTAGCGTTATAAAACCCTTAGATACTGACTTTCGCGGAAATCCGTGTAAAATAATTTTTTGTCCGATAAATTCGACGTACTTCTCTGCCATACTGAGAGTCTTAGTGCTAGCTTATAACATCATTTTTCACCAAAGCTATGGACTGATATTTATGGTGGATAGTTCGTTTTAAAGAATTTGTCAGGCGCATTTTATGTCTGTATCAAACATTCAAATCCGATTATTATTTTCATTTAAGAGAACAAGGTCAAAAAATCAAAAAAAATTTAATTAAACAAAAATTTATATGTAGGGTTCTCTAAAGGTACCACATTACTTACATCTTACATGTATTTATATCCTCATGTAGTCATAATTAAAAAAAGTGTTTAACTTTAAAACTAAAATATGTACATCTCAATCAATTAAGTTTCTTAGGGGTTTCCTTAAAAAATTAAGCTATAAACCCAAATCGTTTTCTCATTTCCAGTCTATCGCTATGAAGATTGTAATTTCCCTAATTCGTCATTTTAAATTCTTGAATTCATTATGTTATCTCCGTTTAATTGGGTTTTAATCGAAGGTTGTTAAGTCGGTGCCGAGACGTCGGCCGAGGGCGTTAAAGTGTCCTTTTGTAGGAGCGACGCGGACGAAGAAAACACTCATAAAAAGCGAGACGGGGTGGGCCCGGAGCGATTTCAATTCGGCATAGCTCGGGTATAAAATGAAGGATTTATATTCAGGGCGCAGGGGCGTTTTATGAGCCTCGACACATCCAAGAACATTCCAACCGGGTGGCGGAATTTATTTATTTGCGGCAGCCCTACCAGACCGGAACATCATTTAATTGCTCATAATTGGTTTTAAACACTTTTGGCTGGAACGTATTTGCGAATTTTGGAAAATTACCTGTACATACTTTGTCCTATAATAAAAACATTCATAATTAGTAAAACATGTTTAATTAACAATAATCGTGTTTTCTATTCCACTCACGGTCCCGGTCATCTGATTGCCACAAACCAAACCGACATCATCTGGGTAGAGGACAGCCCCCCCCCCATTTTACACATGCCCACGCGAGATGTTGAAATGCAAATTTTCTCAAGAAGCCTTCTGCTGAATGCATTATGAACTCACCCTTACATTACGGACAGTTTGCAGTTGAGGATAACGGTAAATGACGGTCCCGCAGTGAGGTCGTCTCTAGCCGCCGTACATCACGGTCTACCACTACTTATCTTCTGTAGAGACTTCCGGTGACCCTAAACAGTTCTGAACCATCGTGGGTGGTAGGGTGCAGGACTTCCAGGAATTAGGGTCTGTTGTCGATAGCCGAATTTTCATCTTGTCCAGGGGCTTCGGGACTCTGATTATAACAGGCGTTCCTTACACAAATGTCGATTTGGGAGGATGAGGAAAACGTACTTTCACACATCCTAGGGACTGATGAATCCAGGTTTACCTCTAATGGTTTACTAAACTGTTGAAATTTTCGAACGTAGGTAGAGGAGAATTTCGTACCTTGCCATCATCACGTGGTTCACACTATCAACCTTTGGTGTGGGCTTCGCAGAAATAAATTAATTGGCCTTATTTATACGAAAATAATTTAAATAGTGCTCAGTTCTTCAATTTTCAATAGCAAACCAAATGACATTTTGCAAATATTTTGCTATAACTTTGTCATTTTTTGACCAATTTAAAATCCGATTGCTCCGTTTTTTCAGCGTAACAAATTCCTTAAAATGATCTGTCGGGATGGATACGGTCGTATTTGAAATTTTGAAGTTGAACTGGACTTGCGGTACCCTGTATAATTTTTGTACAAAAAAAGGTAAGAGTTTGAAACTAGACTAAAAATATTAAACATGTATTTTTTGACTGCGTCATTAATTTAAAAAAATTTAGCAGGCCGATCTAACAAGGAGCCCCTGTATATAAATATTATATTCATAATTTTTCTCAAAAGCAAGTGTACCAATTTTAATGGTTGATAATTCATTTTAAAGAAATTGTCAAGTGCTTTTTATATCTGTATAAAACATCGGCTTGAATGTATTGGTGGGGATTGACTTGAAATTGAAGAACTTGAAGAAAACGTAATTAGAACCAGAAAATAATGTGTCCAATGGAAAACCAAATTCATCCCTAAAACTAATTCTCCCCTCAATTGTGTCAGTTAGGGAACAGTATACGTAATGAGAACGTGAAAAAATCGTATGCACAATATATCATGCTAAAATGTAAACTATTCCGGTCACGCTGCAACGCGAAATAAAATATCAAGTGGGAAAAATTAATTTTTTCTCGTTTTTTCGTTTACAAAGGTCTTTGTTCGTTTCCATCCGGCCGGACAATTTGTCAAAATAAATATTGGGCGCCAGGGGAGGGATCTCGATTGTGGACCGGCTCATCCCTTTTGTAATTTTCAAAATGGGCGACTCCAGGTTACAAAAGTTTTCAATGGGAAGGAAATTGCTGGTCGAACCTCTGAATCAAAGCCGCGGCAAATATCATTCTAACAAGAAGACCGGATGTTTGTTTTTCAGTTGACTAATTAGCCGATACTGCTAATCATACCTCTTTTGTTGCTTGGAGGTTGTTCTATACTGCTTTTGATTATTTATTTGTCCATTCGACTCGGTAAAATACTGACGTCATTACTCACAATCATATACAACGAATTTATAATTTTTATTAAAAATTACTTCATTTAATTAACTGATGGGGTATTAAGGGGATTGAAACTGTTTTACGTACAACTAGTTTTTCTTATTTTATTTCTACTCAATGGTTTTTAATTTTGACAATGTTCTCAAGACAATCAAAATTTACAATTTTCCATATTTAAGTAATTTTTGATAGTGATTTATTTGTTCAAAGAGTGAAAATTTTTAATACCATTCTCGAAAACCATTACATTTAGTTTAATCAATGTTTTTATTCTCTTTTGTTTCTTTACGATTTCGTCAATTTTTATTAAAAAAATGTAAATCTTTAATTTTTGACAACTTAAATTTCACGTAAAACTGAAGATTGCTAAATTCCATGTTATCCATGTTAAAACGATTAGTAACGACCAAATTTCTATATTTATTTTATTTTTAAAAAAATTCTAAATACGTAGTACATACTTCTGTAAATAAGAATTTATTTATGTTCTTATTTATTTTTTTATCTGTTATAAAGAAAAACGCGAAGCTTATTGCACATTTTCGGACCAGGATCCACTAAATACTGTTAGACATTTTTCATCAGAATTGGATGTTTTTGGTGGTGATAATGTCGATGTCACTATCATTCTCGAAGTAGAGGTTCAACTTGAGTTTATTCGCTTAAATTACAAGGTGAAATATAATTATGTTGGCTAGTTTTACTTGTTTATTGATTTTAAACTTATTTTTTAAAGCGAAATGCTTATCAATGTTTTGAATATTTCATAATCCATATTTGCTTAGTGGTCAATTGACCAAGTTACTTCTTTCAATTAATTATTCTTTTTATGTAAGGTCTTGGTTGAGATAAAAAAGTCAGTGTCACGAACGGGATTCGAACCCACGACCTTCGGCTAAATACGCCGCTGCTCTACCACTTGAGATATCGTGAGTTGGATCCACTCGGATACCAACTCGCATCTCAACCCCACTTTTTGAATTTCCCCTCCTTTTTGCCATTTTTCAAATGTCGTGTAATCTATTTGATTCTCGGCGACAAATGAAATGGCCACGGAGAGCTTTAGTGAAGTACACTTCATTTTGTATTAAATTTTATTAGATTTTCGTATCCCGCTTGTGATACTGACTTGTGATCTCAACCAAGACCTTAAATAAAAAAGAATAATCAATTGGAATATTTTATATTGTCTGTTCGTTAAAAATCATATTTTTTAAACCTATTTGTTTAGTTTATGCGAGAAAAGGTGAAAACAAATAGATTATTTAATTCCCTTTGCTTCAGGACATTTTTAAAATGGTAAGCCACAAAATTTAAAAAAAATATGTACAATTTTGAAACCCTCTTAAAAATACAAGTTGCATACACTATTTTTGTCAAGTAACAATTCTGGGCTTAATGGGTTAGTGGAATTTGCAATCTCGTTGTGCTCAATTGCATCACAGAACTAGTTGGAAAATCAGGTTGTGTCATTTGGTGCAAGCCTCTCACATAGCGCTATGTAGATATGTTAATGCAATAGTCGTCGAGAAGTTTAAAGAGAAGGAGTCGAAAGTGGCTCTTCTTGTCCTTCAGCTGATCTCTGTTCAAATAAGATTGATGCAAATGAGTATTTAGTTTGGTTAACTGAAGCAATCAGAGAGCGCTTCTGTTTGCTTTCAACGGCCATTAGTTTCCATTGTTTACTCGCCAACAGGTCTCTTTGCTGCTTCCTTTTAAGATGGTGTATAATTAAACGTGAAAAGGATTTCCATTCTATCTGGTTTGCTTGATAGCCTTCATTTACAGAAATCTTTGGTTATTTTTATACTTTTTACGATAAATTAGTAAGGAGTTTTCTCGATTAAAGATCGGCTCGTGATAATAACACGAAGGTGTTTGGGGCGTGAATCGTGACCCTGTTTAGGGGCAGAAGCGGTTTGATGTAATTTGGAGTAAATTAATCTTTGTTCTCTCTTGGTTGACGTTTATGGCTAAGTGAATTGGTTTGAGGTCCCTGTATGCTGTAATAAGACAATACCTGTTAGCAGGGGCAATCCATCTTCCTCCCATTTCAACAAAGCCCAATACGTCAAACTTCACCCGACTGGTAACAGCAGAAACAGAGGGATTATCGTAATATCATATTATTTTGAGTTATTTAATTTTAATTTTTTATTTATTTATTAAAATAGAAATTATATTATTACATAATAAACTGTTCAATCATTCTTGCACTCTCCTTTATGCAGCAGGATAAAATCTGAAAAAAAATTAATGAACTTATCGACTTGAAATAAACAGGTTGTGAGTTTAAAATTACTACAACTAGAAAAAAATGGAAATTCCTTAACGTTTACTTTTTCCAGAAGTACAATTGAAACAATTGAGCTGGCAAATGTTCTTGAACGTCTCTGTTTCCTTTGATTTCAAAGAATCTCGAGCGCATATCAAATTACTTCCAGGGCAATTGCACTGACACTTCACTGGCTGACCATAGCACGTACCTGCGACTAGGGCTGAAATTTAATAGTGATTATTATTTATAGAATTAAATGTTTTATGTCTGCTATATCTATTCTACTTAAATGTTTTTTCCTCTATGTAACAAAAATTGTTTTCGCTAATAATGTTTCATAATTGTAGTACAACTGAAGTAAACGTTTTAAAAATGATTATTTGGTGATCGTGAGATCCGATCTGGTATGACCTAGGTTTTAGAAAAACATTTTCTTTATCGTGCAACGTTTCGAACTTTATTGAGATCATCATCAGGGCTCAAAATGTTTTTTTGTGTATGACGGCTGGTTCAAGGAAATATATGAGCAAATTCAATTTCAGCATGAACCGTATCTATGAAAAAGATAGTAATTATGTACTACCAAAAAATGTTAAACAAAGTTTTATGGCAAATTTATATAATGCTAGAAGTGCAGCCAAAAGCCGTGTTGTTCAAACCATATTAAATGTTGACATAAATATATGAATAATAAAAACAGGTGGTATTTTACGGCTACAATATTTAAGATTAGGGGTGAATTATTGCAACTTAATTATTCTAGAGTTTGAGCTTAGGATTTGTAGAAATGTGCCCTTCCAACATTGGAGCTATTGAAAACATGTACCGGTTCACAGCAATATGTCCAATGTGTGGTGATTAGTGACTGTTAATCGATATTTATTTAAAAATCGTGAGATGCGGCCTGGTGTGATTTAGGTTTCAGAAAAACATTTTCTTTATCGTGCCAACGTTTCGATCTTTATTGAGATCATCGTCAGGGCCTGGGATTTACAAACATTGTTTACATATAACAATTACACTTACTTTTCCACATCCAAAATGTAGTTGTGAAAATGTTTTTCTGAAACCTACATCACACCAGGCCGCATCTCACGATTTTTAAATTAAATATTCCCAATGTTTAAATACTACTAAATTAAAAAATAAATACCAGTATATACACCAAAGGTTGTTTAAAAAAAAAAAAAAAAAAAAAAAAAAAAAAAAAAAAAAAAAAAAAAAAAAAAAAAAAAAAAAAAAAAAAAAAATTGGATGGGAGAATTGACTAATTTGAATCGTAGCAACTAGGAAAATTTAGTCAGTTATGTGCTGAATCGTATAACTATAGAATAATTTTAATTGAAGAATTCAATTTTCAGTTGGAATTTTTATTTTTATTTTTAAATATTGTTTCTAAAACACATCTGAATGAACACTCCTATGGAGAGCAAAGTCCATGTAGTTTGTATTTTTAAAACTTTGTAACGTAAAAAGATGTTTTGTATCGTGAAAATTAACAAAATACATTTGTTATTATTATAAATAATCGTTTTAACGAAAATATTTGAAAACTAATAAATATTTCATACCTAAGGCTTGTATGATTGTATGGTGTGTGTGTGTGTGTGAAAGAGAGAGAGAGAGAGAGAGTGAGTGGAACCGTACCTACACACAAGATTTTACATGATAAATATCGATCTTTTTTTCTATAAATTTTTCGAATAAACCTAAAATTATGGAATACCTCGTTACGATTTAAAATAGTGAACTCGCTACCTCCATTTGCCCCAACTTTAAACTTCAAGCATTTCAACTCTATCTAAACCACAATGAAGATTTGAAAGATGAAATGACGTTAAACTTGAAAAAAATTAATAATATTCGAAAGCCCTTGAATTTCAAATAGAGCTAGCTCTAGACCTACGCAGTCAATTTAACTACTGATATTAATTACTGTTTATTTTAAAAACATTTACAATATAAACTAACAGTGGTTTTATTTATATGTAAAACGAACACTTTATATTTAATTACGATTTTAAAACTTAAATTTTTTTAGTTTTAAAAAATTGAAGATTTATGGGTTATAATTTTCTATGGGCATAACTATGCTGGGGTTATAATTTTTTTATAATTATTTATTTGCATCTTTTACTCTATAATCGCAAAGCAAATTGTTCATTGTGCTGTTTACATCCGTAGCGAGGTTATCTCGAGTCCATCTTGGAAAAAGGCTTCGAGACGTGGAAATTTCTTAATAAGGGAAGTAGTAGAACTAAGGAGCTTGAGCTAAAAGATCAGAATGGATAAAAAGATGCGTGTAAAACTGGGACAAGCGGGAACTGATTAATTCCATAGCATCCTTAACAAAGGAAATGTGAGGTCATTGCAGATATTGAGGTTATAGACGTAGTAAGGAGCCTGGAAAATTCTTCCGAAGATTTTTGCTTGGAATGCTTAGATGTTATTTGGCTTGTTAGTACCTGTGGTTTCGTAAGGTCGAAATAACTTTTCTACATGGATAATTGCTGTGTACAATCGTTTCCGATGTCGATCCTAGTAATCCTTGAGTGCCCAAGTGGTTTGTGGATGTTGGGTTCGCAATCCGTCTACTGTCTAAGTATTGTCCTGAGCATTTAATTTGAGTAATGTTCATTGCTCTTATTGTATAAACCAGCTGTAATTTTAAGATCAACGTAATTTGATTGGATTTGCCTATGCCAAGTTGTTTTTTCACATTTTGCACCATTATTTCATGATATGCTCATGGATATTGACGTGACTTGGGCAGGATTTATGTTAGAAGGTCACATTGCGGTATCATCATAGGAAAGTGTAAACTTGGCGTATGGCTGAATTGGGAAGGTCAGCAAATTAATTATTATATAATATAAGATAGGAGCAAGAATGCACCCTTGTCGAACGCCTGCTTGGATCGGTCTTGTTTCTGTGCATTCATAGCCACATTTTGAAAAATAGATTGGCTAAATTTTAGGATTAGTAAAGAGTAGATAGATTAATTATTGAAACTTAACATTTCTTATTCAGCTATGATTTCCAATCATTACATTAAATAAAATAATTTTGTATACCATTTTACACTATTGTAATACTTTGACGAGCGTTGTAAACTATTTGCAATTAAGAGATAACTTATTAGATTGCAATTAATACTTTCAGCTTGTAATCACTAGTTAAGTATTTAATAAAAATTACTTTGATGATGATTAATTACATATTGCTGCGACTTTAAAAAAGATGTATCGCAAATTTTGGATTTAGGTTAGTTTGAATAGTTACCGTTTAAACTTTTTCCTATTGCGTATTGTTTTGGAAAAAGGTTGGTGTCATAATATGGACTGGGACACTTGCATGTATTAATAATTAATCAATAAATAAGTAATATGTATAATACGATGAATTCATGACATAACACAAATTTTTAAGTAATAATTGTCTCATCGGTGTTAATACAAATATAAGACAGTTACTAAAAAAAAGAAAAAATAGTAATCAAACGCACGAAATATTTATTTTTGAGAATTTATTATTATAAGAAAACATTAGAATTATTTCTGTAATTATAATTTCGATATCACGTTAAAAAAAGAAGAAAGGGAGATTATTATCTGTTAGAACATATTTACAGAAACGTTTAATTATAGCATTTAAATTTGTTTATCTGAACGTAAGTGATTTAATTTGTAAAAAAGATATTAATTTTTCTCTTTATCTTGAATAGTCACATAGATACACGAGAACTATAAGCGTCTTTTTTTTAATGAAACCTTGGAATTGTTGAGTAGGTTTTACTCATTATCACATTTCAATATTTCATGTTTGTCTACCTTCAAAAACACCTTGTAAATTACCGATGTCATTTTACAAAAACGTCATGTTTGAAAAAATTTACTTTTTAACCTGTGCGGTTTATTCAAAATATAATAACATAAAGAATATCATAAACAAACCCGTCTCACAGAACTATTGCAGTTGTGAAATATCGTTTTAAGAAAACGAAAAAAAAGAAAAGCCATTCAGGTAGGAAGGAAAACAAGCGTATAAATCAAATTTGTTGTGTCAAAAGGACTGGGTAACATACCGAATATCAAAACCAGAGAAACGATACTCCTCATCTTGGCACGGACACTTCTAGATACGAAGGAAGACTGGTAGTACAAACGGCTTATCTTTTACACGATTGTCCCCGCCTCGACGATCTTTGAAAATTTCCCATACCGGTTTTTTTAATCCTTCTGGTGAATAATTCATAGCCACTGCAGGTGGACAATGGCGCGCAATAAACCCGCCGCACCGTCTCGCTCATTTGACTTTTGACATTTGACAATCAAAAAGAGCGACCGGAAAATCGACCACTGTCGGTCTTGACCGATTTTCGTTCCTGACCGAACGACATTGAACGAGTAAATAAATAGATAAAACAACAAAGTTAAATGGAAAACTGTCCTTCGACACATAGATGCTACAATAACAACAATAATTTTGTCCTGGAGACATTTTTCATTTAATTTAAAACCTTTGATGTGATAACTTTCGGACATCGTAAAAAATAGATATTGTTTGAGGAACAAATTAGAACATCAAAAGAAAAGCAAATACAGAATAAATCTAGGTGAAAATATTTTCACGTAAATCCAGATTACCTGATAACAAGAATTTACTTCTAACAAGGAGAAATTCTGAATGTGCGATCACCGATTTCAATGATTTTTTTTCGGTGATGATTCTATGTTGAAAAAGGTTATAGGCGTTTCCTCGAGTTCTTGACAATGGACTCTAAGGGACGAGAAATTTTTGAATAAACCAATCAGTTTTTTAACCTAGGATAAGAAAACTTATACAATATCGTATATAATTATGATGGTTATGATTTGGATAAATGATTATGATCTACCTCCTATTTTAAACGTGTTCCTTAATAATATTTGTCATACAAATTAATCACTAATTTAAAATTTATTTTCTTACAGTATTCATTAGGATAATTATTATTAGGATATAGTTGTACGACAAACTTACCCATCTCTATCATTTTTATTAACCAGTTGATTCCTCTAAACTTGGTTCACGTTTTGACAAACTTTCTGCACAAATTAAACGCTTCACAAATGTGGCCTCCACTTTATCCACTAAAACAAATGAAAATCTTTTCTCTGAAGGGCAAATACACACTTATTCTCGATTCGAAAAATTATTAACAACCACTCTCAATCCAAACCCTCCCTGCACTGCACCTTCCCAACACCCTCCAGTACAGCATTAGATAATATGCAAACAGGCCCGAATATTTTTACAAAGTAAAATTTTGTACAATTAGCGGGGAAGCGGGCCGTCCAACTGCTCGCCTATTAGCGACTCACGTCCTCACGTTTTCCATTCTAACAAAAAGTATACAGCAAGCAAAATACCGTCACTATCAATAGCATCTAATGACAATAATCCCCCCCCCCAAAAAAAAATATTATCAATAATCTATCTTTTTTTAAAATCTAAAACACCAATTATTTTTTCAAGCCATATATTTCAAACGCCATGCATTTTTGGTCACGTCTCTGGTGTTCTTCCCTATTCAAAGCTGTTATTTTAATGAAGTAGAACAGCTCTAGAAGGTGTTTCTGATTAGCATGTAATTAAAGGCAAATTTCTACTGGTATACTGAAGGCTCCAAAACCGACAAGGGTACGGGAGCTGAGGTTTTTGGGATGAACCCCAAGAACGAACTGACGGCAAAACTAGGCAAGTATGCTACAGTTTTCAAATCATAGCGATCGAAAAATGTGCCAGAGAAATAAAAAGATTAGAAATACATTCCCGGAAGATAGCCATTTTGTCTGACAGCCAGGCTGCTCTCAGGGCTTTAGCCCCATGAGAGGCGAAGGCAAGGAGGGTTTGGAAATGCATGGAGGCCCTGACGGAAGCCAGCGACACTAATGACCTGACCCCTGGCATGTGTCCCTGGACATTCGGGGCAAAGAGACAACGAAAAGGTTGACATGCTGGCCAAAAAGAGAGCATTCGTTGTCCGCTTGACCAAAAAAAATTCTTTTCATTGGTTTTGGTTGACATAAAAAAGTCAGTGTCACAAGCGGGATTCGAAAATCTAATAAAATTTAATACAAAATGAAGTGTACTTAACTAAAGCTCTCCGTGGCCATTTCATTTGTCGCATCAAATAGATTACACGATATTTGAAAAATGGCAAAAAGGAGGGGAAATTCAAAAGGTGGGGTTGAGATGCGAGTTGGTGTCCGAGTGGATCCAACTCACGATAGCCCAAGTGGTAGAGCAGCGGCGTTTTCGCAAAAGGTCGTGGGTTCGAATCCCGCTCGTGACACTGACTTTTTTATCTCAACCAAAACCTTAATAAATTGAAAATAATTTATTCGGTCAAGAGGACTACGAAACCTAATACAAAAAATTAATATTAATATTTTAAAAGACAAGATATAACAACAAGATGAATTAATTGAAATGTTAATTATAAAAAAATAATATAAAAAATCGTAAAAGGTTTAAAAAATTTAATTAATTTTAAGCACGCTTATGAAGTTTTATTAAGGAAATAAACGAGCTATTAAAACTATTCTAATTATTCTTCAGAAACAGTTGTCGTTTACTCTGTATCGAATAAGAGTAACTTATTAAATAGAAACTCGGCAAAAATCAGCCGCGGAAAGTTGACAGAGGGGAGGTTTGTATGCTTAAAATTAGGAGGAAAACAAAAATTCTTTCCCCAAGTCCTTGCGTTCTCAGTTAAGAAAACTAATTCTGAAGGGAAACTAATTGCAGGCGTCGATTTCAAAGTCTAAGCCAAACTCGGAGACAAACTGTAGCCGTTTCTCTCTGGAGCCTCCTGAAAACTTTCCCCGATCCAATATCGCACCTTGGACCACTAAAATGTTAATGAAACCAGTAATTCAACAGTTGCCTGGAGTTTTCCCCTGGGGCTCGGCTGTTCCTCCTTTTCTCTTCGTGTTTATTAAGGCGGCTCTTGGTGTACAGCCAGCTTGAGCTTCAGCCAGCCTAGAAAAAGATTTATAGCTCTGGCTCTATCCGCTATCTATATCATACACTTTGCCGCAAACCAGCAAGTACGACGAAATTTTGGAGCCCTCCCTCCACTCGCTACGGATACATTGCGCAACTTCATTTATTTATATATAGACTGAGAGGCAAAAACGGTGGCCACACACGTTCTTTTTAGTCAATACTTAATTTTTACTTTTTGTTGTTTACTAGATATTTTAACATAAAAATATAAGATATATCTAACTAAAAAATTTACATAGAAAATTAAACTTAATAAAACAATATTTCCAAAAATGTTACTATAGAAACAACAAAGAAAATATTCTATTCAATCCAGAGATTTCGTTCTGTTACTTTTAACACCGCATGCAGTCCACGTGGCATCAATTTTATGAGGTTTTGAATGTAATGTTGTGGAATATTTTCACACTCCTACAACAACGCCATGCTCAATTCCTGCAAATTCCTTGGCATCACTGGGCGGCTTTTACACTCTTTGAAAACTCGACCGAAAGGGGTTCGATGTTTTAAGACGGGACAACATGCTGGACACTCCAAACGTTGAATTGAAACCCGTTCCAAGCAGTCACCAACGATAGTCTCATCGTCATGCATCAAAGTAAAGCCGGCGGAAATTAGTGATAACGAACAACTTCTTATGATAACACATCTTCAATGTACCGCGCAGCTGTTAGGTAACCCTCGATGAAGATCAAGTTTGACCGCCCAAACCATAACCCTACCACCTCCAAGCTTCTCCGGAGTGAAATGTTGCGGGGATATATCGCTTTCCTGTTCTTCTCCAATCCCTTTCTCCGCCGTTAGAAGACCTCAAACCAAATACTGACGCATCCGAAAACAAAATTTTAGTCCTACTTGCTCAGACCAATTGAAGTGATTTCTGATGAAACTTCAACTGTTCTGGGCATTATCAGAAGTTCTGGACCAGAAGCGAACCTTCTCGCACGCAATCCAACTCCCGAAAGTCTTCACCTTTCAGTGACAATAACAAGGCTTTTTAATCTCAAATTTTGGTTCCTCTCGGACGCGCGCTGGTGTGGTAGCAAAAAAATAATGAAAATAATTAAATAAACTAAAATTTAACAAAACCCCAATACCTGCGGTGATTGGGTGTGTAGTCCTCGCCAATCTTCATTTCAGCACCGAGCAATGCAGCACCTAAACGCTCAATGTAATAAACCTAGGCCTTGATAATATGATGGCTTAGATTATTATTTACTACTAGATTGATACCGGCTGTCCGATATCACTCCCGCGATTTGAAATTAAACGGAAACTAAACTGAAAACAATTTTAAGTCTGGAAGTAAGGAGTGCGAATTGTATGCTCGCAAGGAAGCAAGACGTTAGTTCCACTCGGACGCATGAGAGTAAGTCACGGCTGGAGCAAGCTACGGACTCAGTCACTTATCGGCCCGTTTAGGGATTAGGGCGCAAGGGAATGGGGCAGCATTTGAACGGAAACATGAATACTTACGCTAATTACCTTGCGTAAACAACGCTCTTGAGCAAAATGAGCGCTGCTCTGTGTTTTCTTAGATATGACGTTTTACTTCATCCTAAAATCCTACTTAATGATTCATTCATTTCATTCGTATCATATGAATTATATAGATATTTTCTATGGTGGTACTTCTCAATTAGCTGATTATAGCACAGATGCAGGGCTACCCCAAGAAAATATTTTATGGCTCGTACTTCACACAATGCTCACCACAAAATTTTTTTTAAAGATACTTACCACCGACGCGGATGATACCGCCAGCTTTTCTTCTCATAAAGATTCCTTCAGCTTAACTAGAAACCTGCAAACCCTAGGTACATTTTGAATCCCTTGAGCTGTGGTTCAACCGGTCGTAAATGACAATAAACTTGAAAAAAGTTAACAAGAAATTCGCACCTTTTGACGAATAACAACTCCCATCTACTACAAAATGGCATTAGTATTCTTGTGTCACTAACTAATGTAGTACCTTGAGCTATACCTACCAACATCCTGGGCGTCCTTGGAACCCTCAGACAATAGCGAGAGAAAAGCAAGAAATTAACAACTAAAGAGATAGATAGATAGATAGATAGATACAGATAGATAGATAGACAGATAGATAGATAGATAGATAGATAGATAGATAGATAGATAGA